TTTTTATTATGTAAAATCACTTAAAAGTGTTTTTTTTTTACAAACTGGTGAAAATTGTTTGCAACCAGATCATAATGCCAGCCTCATTTTTTGATCATCATGCAAACGCTGATTTGCTATTAGGTTGTAAATGATCTATGTTTAGAGTAATAAAATGTATAACCGTTTTGTCTTGGAATTACGAAGAGAGATGTATTTATAGATTTACATAGTAAATGCTGTTTGCTGATTACCCAATCAAACTATTAACAGTATTGTTCTATATCTTTAACACATTTTACTTGTGCGAACTGCATTAGTAGCAGTATTTGTCATCTCATAAATAAAACAATCTGAACTCAAGCTTACTTAAATCTGTTAGTCCATAAAAATTAGCATTCTGCTAATCAGTATGCTAAGCAACCTATTTTCATTTCCATATTTGCAGCACATACAGGATCATGGGCTGAAGCTTGCCCTGAGATCGTCACTTGTGCAAACATGTTCTGGTGGCCTGCAGAAGCCAAATGGGCCGACCGGTTTGCTTCTGAGCCGGGCACCGGTCAACTGAATCCTTTAAGCCCCAAGACCTATGAAGTCGTTAAAAATGTCATCAATGATGTAGCTACCATGTTTCCTGATTCATTTTATCATGCAGGAGGAGATGAGATCGTTCCAAATTGTTGGAAAGCCGACCGTTCGATTCAAACTTTCCTTTCTAAGAATGGAACCCTTAGTCAGATTCTTGAAATATTTGTTAATTCTACCTTACCATATATTATCTCCCTAAACCGGACAGTCGTCTATTGGGAGGATGTGTTATTGGATTCTATTATCAAAGTGAGTCCTTCGGTTCTTCCTCCTGAAAATGTTATTCTGCAAACATGGAACAACGGGCCAAATAACACTAAAAGAGTTGTTGCATCTGGTTACCATGTCATTGTATCATCCTCGGACTACTACTACTTGGATTGTGGACATGGAGGTTTTCTTGGAAATGATAGTCAGTATGATCAGCCACCGGGTACTGATCCAGTTAATGGTGGATCATGGTGTGAACCGTTCAAAACATGGCAAACTATCTATAATTACGATATAACGTATGGTTTGAGTGAGAGAGAGTCGAAGCTGGTATTGGGAGGAGAGGTGGCATTATGGTCAGAGCAAGCAGACTCCACTGTTATGGATTCACGGATCTGGCCTAGAGCATCGGCAATGGCTGAAGCATTATGGTCCGGGAACAGAGATAAAACTGGAAAGAAAAGATATTCAGAGGCTACAGATCGGTTGAATGAGTGGAGATATAGAATGGTTACCAGGGGAATAGGTGCTGAACCCATTCAGCCACTGTGGTGCGTGAAAAATCCAGGCATGTGTAACACAGTTCATCCTTTTGTTAGCTAATTGTCATTTCTGTCTCCAAGTTCTTTTAAACTCGAAGTTAGTGAAGAAAAAAGAATCTTAAATCTTGTCCATGACAGTATTCAATCCTCTTCATTACTACGTAACAAACATGCCTTAAATGTTCATCAATCTATCTTGTATGTTACCTTAATAGGATCGTTTAGATTTCGTACTTCATGAACCATTTATAAAGCATACACTTTACTGCTGAAGTACTAATTTCTTTTTCTTCATCTCTTGTTAAAGCATCATTCCATGTGTCAACAGATGGGTTTTGCAATTGAAAAGGACTCTTGGAACAAATATTTACTTTTTGATTGATTTTTTTACATACTTATGTCATGTTTGGTAATGGGGATTGGACAACGCTAGAGTGTACCGAAAATGGTAACATGGATTGGAGTCATTGGACAACACTTGAGTGTACCAAAAATGAAAAGTTCATAATATTGTTTATTATGGTCTTGTACTGCTCTTAATGCTGATAAGGTGAAGATAACCTACATGATTTCTTACCGCTCCTGAAGTTTTAGAGCAAGGAAACCACTCGATCATCAAGATGGTTGCTATAATCGGAAACCAGTACGTTAATTCTGCAATACAGTCTATCAAGGTAAAATGCAGTTCCCAAATTTTTTTTGTATTGTGAATGGCTAGTTTATTTTGTACGGTTAAACGACAAGGGAAAATCATAATTTCACGATCCAGATAGTTTCTTTTGTTCTATATGTCACCTGGTAACGTAAATGAGGAATGGCTTGTGATCAAATTTCTTTATGCACTAAACTGAGCAAGCATCAGAGTCTCGGACCCTAGCCTTGCTCGTTTAAGTGATTTTTCGACTACTGGATCAGAACTAATAGTTACTGATAGACAGGCTTGATCTGTGCAAGTGGCCTTGAGCTTCTTAGACTAGAGGTTATCTGGGCAATATTTGCAGGAATTGAGGACAGCAGTTTGATGAAGATTCTGGTGCAGTTCAAGTTAGTTTTAGTATTCGTGCATGAATCAATGACTCGATTGTAAGTATCCTAAGTATTCTTGCGAAAAATCAACAGATATTTGATTATGTTCTTCGCTATCATCAATTTCTCATTTCTGATTTCATCAGAACCTTTAACAACAAGCTTCTTCTAATCATTTAGTTTCTATATGAGCCAAGGAAGTTTGTGCATGTCGTAAATTTTGGTCGAACTACTTTGTATACGAGTTAAGCGTTTAGTTCTTCCACATAATGCTACAATTGTAAGCCAGGAGAGATTTTTAGCTTATGGAAAGTGACATTTCTATTTCATAGATAAAAGAAAGGTGGTGGCTGTTATCCTTTTATGGTGGTTTTGCAATTTATTGTGACTTTCTAATTTTCTTATAGAATATATGGAAAACTTCTCTTCGATAATCCTTTTTAAAAAAAAAATTTCACTACACTTTGCAGCACATTCAGCTGCCTGTTTTCATCAGCGTCATTACCGTTGCCACTTGTAGAGTTGAAAATTGGGATGAACTGAGCTTCGAGCATGTACGAGTTAGCTAGCTAACTCGCTTGGCTCATAAGCCAAATTAAATATTTGCCTAAAAAAATGTTAAACCTCTACTTTGTTTAGCTAAAAACAAAAATTTAAATAGATTTTAATAAAATTTGATAAAATATATATGATTGAGAAGTTAATAAAAGTTGTGAATCTTACTAAGCCTTTGTTTGTCTTTCATTAAAAAGTATTTTTTTGGGGAAAATGAATTTTGAAATTGTGATTTTTTGGAGAACGTGAGATTAAAAAAATGGTTAAATCCACTGATGGCCACTCAACTTTATACTTAATGTCATCATGACCACCAAATTTAATTTTGTTTCACCATGACCACTTAACTTTATACTTAATATTACCATGGTCACCCAATTTCATTTTATTTCACTATTACCACTCAATTTCATATAATATTTCACCATGACTATCCAACTTCTTTCAACATTTTTCACTAATTTTAAAAGGGGTAAAATGGTAAATTTGTATTATATATAAAATATAAATTTTAAATAACAAAAATAAAAGTTTTTTTTTTAATTTTAAAAACTTTTTTAAAAAGCGTTTTTTTAAAATAAGTTTTTATTTTATTTTATTTTTAAATTTATTATATATATAATGCAAAGTTATCATTTTGCTTCTTTTAAAATTAGTGAAAAAAAAGTTGGATAGTTATGGTGAAATGTTATATGAAATTGGATGGTCATGGTAAAATAATATCAAATTGAATGACCATGATAACACTAAGTATAAAGTTAGATGATCATAGTGAAATAAAATCAAATTAGATTGTCATGATGATACTAAATATAAAGTTGGATGGTCATTGGTGTATTTAACCCTTAAAAAATAGAGTAATGCTATGTAACCTTACTGTAGTTGTAACCTCAATCTATGTGACTCTAAATGATAGACTAAATGAAATGTGAAATTAAATGACTTATTTAATTTCACCTATAATTTAGTGTCACATTAACACCATCTAGACTGTGTTGTAACTCCAGTGGAGCTAAATAGTATTACTCTCACTCATATTAGGACGGCCTATATATTTTTTGCGGGTTTATTAAGACCCGGCTCAATATCCAGCACTGGCTTCAAGTTGTGCCAAACTACAACACCCAACTCATATTAGGACGGCCTGAGCATGGTCGGATTTGAGGTGAGGCCCGAGAGATTGTGGCCTCAGCCTCATTATTTTTAATGGCCCTTTTTTATGGAAATTTAAAAATATCTTATATAGAACATAAAAGAGGAAATTACACCTAGACTTGGTTTTAGATATCCATTTTCATAATTCTTAATTTAAATTTGATATTTCACTAATCAGGTTTTAAGGAATTAAAAAAAAAATTATTTTTTTTATATTTATTTACAATAAATTAATTTATATATACCCCCAACCGCCCTAACCCTAAAATCATCAACCCATCTCTACTTCCTCCCGACTCTCTCTCCACCACGCCGTCGCCGTCGTCTCACCCATATCTCCACCACGCCGCCGCCGTTTCTCTCGCCATTATCCACTCCCTTCACACATGGTAACATACGTTTTTGACCCCCACAGATCCAGATTTTTTTT